AAAAAGCTGGAAGTGGTGCTGTGGCTCAAGTGGTAGAGCGCTAGCCTTGAGCTGAAGAGCTGAAGGACAGTGCCCAGGCGCAGAGTTCAGGCCCCACGACCGGACCCAAAAACAAACAAACAAAAAAACTAATCATAACATCCATTTCAATGAACCAAAGGCTGATGCTGCTGGGGCACAAAGTGGAAGGAGTTTAAGACACAGCCTTCAGCCACTACTGTTCACTGTTTGCTGAACAGACAGCTATGGATCTTTGGAATTGTATGACTAATGGCGTAAGGAAGTCTGTCTCTTAGAATGCCAATGAGTCTCAGGTTCAAAGGAGAAATTGTTTCTGAAATATAGCTCTCCAATGATTAACAATGAAAGGTAGAGAGGGGTCACAGAATAGAAAATTAAGTAATTTTATGTATAATTGTTTTAGCATATGATATATTATCTGTATATGGTATGTATCACATATATGATATATAACATCATATATCATATGTATTATATATGACATCATATATATTATATATAGGTAATATATATATAGGTAATATATATATTATATATAGGTAATATATATATAGGTAATATATATAATATATATGATGTCATATATCATGTTATATATCCAATTATATATGTATGATATGTTATATGTGTGACATATATGAGATATATGACAATATGATATATATCCTATTATATGTAAAAAGATATATATCATAGGTATAACATATCTATATATCTGTTATATAGATGTATCATACATTATATATCATATATAATATGTGTCAAATATGTGATAAATCACTTATGATCTATGTGATACAAACACATATAATATATATAAAAGCTATATCTCTGAAATACCTAGAAATATTATGTGAACTTATTAATTTGCTCATGCTGGAATAAAAGAAATGAATGGTATCAGTTTTATCACTGGAATGATTCTCTTAAAATCTAGCTGTATTTGTTAAATAATATTTTTCTTAAACAATGTAAACCCTTAAAACATCACGTGTATTCAAATAATTTCATTTTAACCCTGGTGACCTTAGATGTGTCCTATAGTCCTAAAAATAAAAAAGCAATAATTCTGGAATGCAAGAAATGTAGGGATGGCCGCTTCCACTCCAAAGGAAATTACAGTAGGAGAACAGACAGACTTCATTTAAGATCAGACGCATCATTGCCATTTTCTGTCCCTTACTTAAAGCAAAGAGGAAATGCTCTCCATCCGTGGCTTTTCAGATTATCGAATCTACCTCTGAAAGGTGGCCTTGCTTTGTTTCTTGAGTGATACAGACAGTCCACAGGGAGAATACCTTTTAGGTGTGTCTCGAAAGAGGTAACTGCCAATTTCCGCTCCATCCGGAATGACAGAGGAGTCATGGAAAAATGCCTTGTCCCGGATCTGCATCTGGAAGAGCTCCTCATCTCGCGTTGGAAGCTTTTGAGTTCTTGAGCTGAGCGGTACCAGCAGCCACAGCAGCCCCCAGTGGAGCAGTGCCATCCTGTCAACGAGAAGCCACACTGACATGAGTGCTGCAGGTGGACAGTGCTGCAGGTGAGAAATGTGCTAACGTGTTCAGTGATGCTTTGGATTTGGGCAGAAACTTGGAGACTTTTTTGTGTCTAAAATTGTTTAATGTTGGGCTGGGAATGTGGCTTAGCGGTAGAGTGCTTGCCTAGCATGCATGAAGCCCTGGGATCGATTCCCCAGTACCACATAAATAGAGAACGCTGGAAGTGGTGCTGTGGCTCAAGTGGTAGAGTGCTAGTTTTGAGCAAAAGAAGCTCAGGGAAAACACCCAGACCCTGAGTTCAAGCCCCAGGACAGGCAAAAAAAAATTGTTATTATAAAGGTGATATACAGCCGGGCACTGGTGGCTCACACCAGGAAAGTCCATGAGACTCTTATCTCCAATGAACCACCAGAAAACTAGAAGTGGTGCTGTAGCTCAAGTGGAAGAGCACTTGCCTTGAGCTGAAGAGCTGAGGGACGTGCTCAGGCCCAGAGTTCAAGCCCCATGACTGACAAAAAATAAACCAAAATAAAAAAAGTTGATATACAGAGGAGTTACAGTTACGTAAGTCAGGTAAAGAGTATGTTTCTTTTTTGGACAATGTCACCCCTTCCCTCACTCTCTCCTAGTTTTTCCCTCCCATTTCCACGCACAAGTTGTAGAGTTCATTTTTCACATAGTGTCCAGTGAGGACCACTGCTGCATTTGTTCCCCCTTTGTCCCTCCGTTTCTGCGCCCCCTTACTCTCTCGAAGACAAATAAATGAAGAAACAAGACAAAAAGAAAAGGAAAACAGCAACGAAGAAAAAAAACTCTTCTTACCATTTCCTAGCGTTCATTTCAAAAAATATTTTGTATGAGAGGCACATACGCATTCCCCCTTCTAAGAGTAGCCTCCTCAAGACAATTTTATCTTTCATACAAACACATAAACTTGAGGTAACTCTTGTGTGTGTGTGTGTGTGTGTTCAAATATTTCATGATGCTGAGAATAAATTAACCAGGATTTCAGCTATTAAAAACACTGTGAAACAAAAGGAATTTGAACATGTTAACGTGCCTGGGCACTCAGACAGAGAATTCACACTTTGTTATGGCACAAACCAGTACAATCACTGTGGAAAATGTTTTCTAACAATGTCTCAAAGCTTGACCTGCAGTGATCTCTGAGGGTCAGTCTCTTGCACAGTTATAAAAGGTTTGCAAGAGTTTGATCAGAACCAGAATCATCCCTCAGCAGTGAGTTTACTAAATGCTAGTTGAGAGTAAAACTACTACTTACAATGTAAGTCACAAGGACCCATCCAAAGACAGGAAATTACTGCAAGTGAAAAAAATGTTCTTTAAAATTAAAGATTATTATTTTTGGGGGGGGTCCGGTCGTGAGGCCTGAACTCTGGGCCTGGGCACTGTCCCTCAGCTTTTTAGCTCAAGGCTAGCTCTCTACCACTTGAGCCACAGCGCCACTTCCGGCTTTTTTCTTTTTGCTTATGTGGTGCTGAGGAATCGAACCCAGGGCCTCATGCATGCAAGGCAAGC